TCTTAGTAAGATAAGTTTACTAAGTAAAGTATTTTTCTTATTATTATTTTAAGCTTATATATTAAGTAAGTAAGTTAAATAAATAAGCAGATACCCTAAATAAGAAATATAAGAATATAATTATCTAGAATAAAGTAATAGTAGCCTATTAGACCTAAATTCTCCTCTTATAATAAAAGATTAATAATAATATTATATAGGATCTCTAGTTAGCCCTAATTAAGGCCTTTATAAGCCCGGCTTAGGAAGAAACCTAATATAATAATATCTAGCTAGTAAATAAGCTATTAAGTAAGAACCGAGAGTTACTAGAGTTAGGAGAGCTATAAGATAAAGCAAGAAATAAGAAAGAAAGTACTTGGATATTATAAAACGGCCTTTTTTTATAATATAGTAAACTATTTATATCTAATAATATAATAATATCCGAGATATTCTTATATATTACTCTTATTTAGGAGATATATATATAGCCCCTAATAAGATATCTAGGATAAGCCAAGCTTTAATAGCTTCTTTAGGCCTGCTATTACTAGTTAGGCCAAGATATAGATATTAATTAGTATAAGAATAATTACTATACTTACTAATAATCTCATATTCCTAAAAATAAGAAGCTAAAGCTCTTGTATTTATTACTAGTTCCTAATTACCCCTAGTAATATATATTAGTAGATTTTAAGAAATGCCTAAAGAATAGAAATAAATATAATATAGTAGTAATCTTTATTAATTACCTAGATAAGTACCCTATTATAATTCCTATTCGAGATATAATAATAGCTAAAGAGTTAGTACTTCTATTTCTTACTTATATAGTTTACTAAGTTAGTATTCTAGAGACTATAGTATCTAATTAAGGCCTCTAGTTTATATTAGATTTCTAAAGTAAGTTCTATAAATATATTAGTATAAAGTTCAAGTTATTAACTACTAATTATTCCTAAACTAATAGCTAGATAGAGATTATTAACTAGTACTTTAACTAATAGCTATATTTCTATATGAATTACTATTAGGATAATTAGAATAAATAAATAGTAATAATTAACTACTAGTAAATAGCTCTGGTTTACGAGATTATAGGCTAATTCCTGTTTTTTATAAAAAAGGGCTATAAATTACGGATATTATTTAACTAGGAAACCTAAATATAATTAGGTACCTTAAAAGAAGAGCTAAATAGATAGGAGGCAAAGGCTCTAGTAATATGGCTTTATAAATTATAGTAAAAGATATAGGAAAATATAATATAAGTATAAGAATATTATATTACTTAAGCTAATAAGTACTATTAACTAGTAAACTTTAAAATAGGAAATAAGATATAAATTATTACTAAGTACTAGAAGAATAATTATTTAAGCCATAAGCTAGCTTACTAAATAGAAGAACTATATAAAATCTTAGAATAAGTAAGATATTTCTTTAGGCTTAAGCTTCCGAAATTAATAAGAATATATCCGGTATTTTATATAGAGAAGCTATATAAAGATTTAGATAACTTCTTTTCCGAATAAGTAAATCCGGAGCCTCTATTATTAGAACTATAAAACCGGGAAACGGAGTATAAAATTCAAGAGATATAAGTAGTAAAACTATTTTATAGGAAGCTAAAGTACCGAGTTTAGTAGAAAGAATAGGACCCAGATCCGGAGTAATATCCTGCTTCCTTATTAAGTAATAGTGCCCTAGCTCTTTAGAGCTTCTATAATAAGAACTCCGAATAGCTAGAACTGCCCCAGAATCTCTCTTATTAGTTAAACTATACTAAGAATAATATATTACCGGAACTATATAATATGAATAGAAATCCTTTAAAGTCACGTGTAAAAGATACTAGCCTTTAATATATAACCTGTAACTTGGAAATTTAATAAGAACTTTCGAAGCTTGGAGATAAGCTTACTTTAAAAAAGGGAGTAATATTATGGTTATTATAATATATAATACTAGTAGGGGTTAGACTAGAGCTAGAGAGGTTATCTGGTATCTAAGTAAGGTATCTGTAGTTACCTGATTATTGCACGTGACCCCGAGCTTAAGCTAGTATATGGGCCCGTATATAGCTTGTAATTATTTAGATCCGAGGCTTCTTTGAGATCTTCTTCTCTCTTTAGCTTTAAATTATTAAAATAGAAATAGTCTAATTATATCTTCTAGGCCCTAGATCTTATACTTATAATAATATTTATATTATTATTTTAATTATTTATTTATTAATAATCTTCAAAATATACTAGAATAAATAGGCTATAATATTAATATAAAAGCTTTTAAGTATCTTATAAAATACTATAAATAATACTAGAAATTGGAATAATTACTAAAATAATTTAAGTTTAATTTAAGTTTAATTTAAGAAATAATATTAGCTTTAATTACTTTATTATTATTAATATTTTCTATATTTTTAATAAGCTTATATTTTATATTATTAATAAAGGCACTCGATATTAAACTAGCTAATAGCTTTAAAATATTAGTATATTATATACTTGGGATATTTTAAAATAGTATTAGATTAATATTTATTTAAGTTCTTTTAATTAAATTATAGTAAATACTAGAAAGCAGTTTATTAATAAAAAGTTTACTTAGCTTATAAATATTATAGAAACCAAGGTTAAAATTATTCTTATAAAAGCTTATAATTCTATTAGAATTATAAAATAGTATTATAGCCTAATTTAATATATTTATTTTATTATTATAGCCGAAATTAAGGAAATTAATAAGAATATTATATTTCAAATAGATTTTAAGGTTATTAATAACTTTATAAGACCTAATAATATTAATATTTCAAATTTAGTAATTATAATTATTTATAATATAATTATTAATTAAATTACTTTTATAAATAGAAATAATAATTCTTTTATTTAAAAATAAATTAATATATAAAATATAGCTTATATTACTTTTAAAAATAATAAAGTAAAAAATTTGGCTACTAATAATAATAAGTAAAATAAATAATATTAATAAGAAATATTAATATATTAATTTTATTAATTTAGGTATTAAAAAAGTTAATAAAAATAAAAATAATATATTTAAGAAATATAAAATATTAGAAAGTAATAAGAAATTTAATAAAGAGAAATTTAATAATAAAAAGAAATCTAATAATAATAAGATTAATTAAACTAGTATTAAGAAACTTATTATAATTAAGAAATATAAGATATTAAGTAATAATTATTATAAAAAGTACTAGTCTAAAACTAAAAGCTAGTAAATAATTCTAAAATCTAAAGCAAAAAATAAATATCTTATAAATATTAATAAGTTAGTATATAATATTATTAGCTAAATTAAAAAGCCTCTTAAAAGCTTTTATAAGAAAAAGATCTTAAAGTTTAAAGCCCGGAAATTTAATAATAGAATAGCTTTAATATTTGGCCTTAATATATGAGTTATTTAGATTAAGCTCGAAAAAGCCCGAAAACTAATTAAATAAAGCTTTATTATTTCAAGTAAAAAAAAAGTAAATAAGCTATTATATTAAAGCTTATTTTAATAAATAAACTTGAATTACTATTTCTATTTAAAAAAAATACCCGGTAATAATAGTTCTAATATTAATTATAGCCTATATAGTACTTTTAAACTATATTATTAATATAAATATAAGTATATTACAAGTAATAAATAATAAGAATTAGCCAGAATATACTAGAAACTGAATTATTTTAATAAAGTTAAAACTATATTTCGACTTTAAATAAGCTACTAGAATTAGACAAAATTAGGTTAATAATTATAGTTTTATTCTTTTATCTTTATACCTGAATAATTTCCTAAATGAGGGCATTTAGACTTTTCTTTAAAGGCAGGTAATATAATGGCTAATATAATAGTATAATTTGCCAAGAATAGGATATCGGAAATAGGTGCAAAACGAAGCTAAGCCGGAATGCTTGGGCGGGACAATACTAAAAGGTCAAGGTATCCCTCTCTACTTTATTCCCTAACTTAGTATTTTCAATACATGAGATTCTTTGAACTTTGAGCCTTCGATTATTGCATTAATCCCGCTATTATAATTGGGCTAGTATAACCTCACGAGAATAATTCAGAAATATTATAGTTAATTATATTATAAATTATTTATACTTAGAAACATAATTTGATTACGCGCACAAGTCTTATAATAAATAATAACAAAGGGACTTGAGTTAGGTGTGGTTGCGCACGTAGAATAAGGTATTTTGGTTACGGGCAAATTTTTGGTAAGGTGATCACGTGCCGAGCCGTAAGTCGAAAGTCGAAAAGTTTGCTTGGACAAGTGATCCTTACGGCCTTCCATACCTGCGCGTGGCTTTCGTCGCTTGCAGGTCGTGGGTCCTCGTCGCTTGTATCGTATGTGTTATGTGTGATTGTCACCGGTGTTCACGGAATAGTGGGTCTCGCTGCTGTATGCATGTCTTGGTGCCCCCGTTTCCACGACGCATGCTCGTGACGCATGGTGGTGCTCGTCACTGATCGGAGTTGCTGAATGTCTGAGATAGAATTCAGACTGTGCTTGGCTTAAAGGATAGGGAGAAGTATTGCGGCGTTGGTCCTTCCGGGGAATTGACGGAAGATCCAATCCTCTTTCTTGTATGCCCGCAAGCGCTGCTCGTACAGGACTGACCATCGGCTCTGCTTACTCGTATCTCTTCCGACCAATCAAGTCATGATACTGCATCTATGCTAGAGGAAGCTGACAATCAATCAAGCCGTGTTGGTTCGCGAGCCGTTAACCCTGATACTCCACTGTCTCAGAGGATCGACGGGAAAGCATTAAACCCCAAAGAAAGGGGCTCAGCCCGTAGAGCTATACCAGTCTCAAGACGCTGTTTGAAGATGGGAATGCTTTCAAAGTGATCGGAGGAGGTAAATACATAGGCGAGGCGAGGACTGGGAGCATTTGTTTGCTGAAAAAGTTTCGGGGAAATCTGTATGATACAATGATATCTATGAAGCAAAATGACTAATTGTATGGTTAACCCCGTAACCTTAGTTGTTTTTGATCCAAGACATTGCCTCCCTTCCCCCTCCCCGTTCCCTCGTCCGATGTCCACAGCTTCCACCCCCACTGACACCCCCGCAAGCACAGATATTCGAAGGAGCCAAAGTTTCGGAAATTGTACAATTCCCACATATCACCAGTTGAACGCTCAGCTAGTTTCTCGGCTCGCAAAGGGGTCGAGCTGCTTGCTGTCCATTTGCGGAGGGAAGCTACTTGACTCTGGGCCAGACCATGTTCCACCGCGTGCGTATTGCGGGCCGAGTATGCCAGCACTGCTCGTCCAGGTCTGACCATCGGCTACCTCCTTCACCCTGAGGAGCGCGCGGCACGAGGAGGCGCTCGTCGAGACCATTAGTTTAAGGGGATGAGGTGGTAAGGGGGTTACTTCATTATGCAGGAGCGCTGCGGAAGCGCCCATCATCGACAGCGTACCTACCAAAATCGCTAGCGAAGAACCACCCTCCAGTCTCACTGGCCCCTGCATTGGCGATTAAAATCCTATAATCCTTTTTTTAGAAACTTATGTCGCGTTACAAGTCGCAAATGATAGATCCAAGTTAAAGGGGTAACCCCAGGGCGTCAAATTGGAGTTTTGAGGCTTGCCCCTGAATTTCAAAAAAAAAACCTCTCATTTGAAATTCTATCATTCAACACCAGAGTGTGCTTCACTTGATCATTCTATACTAAAGGCGTCCCATGTCCTGTCAATAAATATTTCATTGTTTCCTTCGAACAAATAATCTTTCCTGCAAGCACCGCCTCCGCAAGCAATCCAAACCCGGTACCCGATATTCAGCATCCTCATTCCTGGAACTTCATTGCCTCTCAAGGACGGTATCGTGATATTCGTTATCTAACCCTCTTCGTCCTCCAACCGTTCACTTCAGCCGCGATATCATTTAAATACTTATACCCGAGCCAAAGCTGCTGTTACGTCACTATCGCGGTCGTCGTTTTCTCACACAAGTCGTTTCTTGGCCGCCCTCATCATTCCAATTCTCAACGATTCGAGAGTCATCAACGTTTGGCATACATTATTTCCATTGCTTCATACTCACACTATGCTTTCTACGCTCCGATACGAAGATTACACAATAGGATGGATATGTGCGCTCCAAGTTGAAGTGCTCGCTGCTATGTTTATGTTGGATGAAAAGCACAGTGGTACATTCTCTGGGAAGGTTGGCGACGATAACGACTACATAGCAGGCACTGTTGGTGGTCACAATGTTGTTATAGTTGGCTTGCCTAAGAAGTCAATCGGCAATGTCTCTGCAGCAAGCCTTGTTTCTCAGATGAGGCAAAGTTTTCCAAATCTTCGGTATGGCCTGATGGTAGGCATTGGAGCTGGAGTGCCTGGGCGACACTTGGAACCTGATATCCGCCTTGGTGATGTCGTGATCGGTGCACCAGCGGATAATTCCGATGATGAACAAGGGGTCATAGGCTATGAACTTGGAAAGGAGACTGTGGACGGCTTTGTCAAGAAGAGTTGGCTTTACCCAACCGATAGACGCTTACGAGGTGTGCTTGGGACGATTGAAGCAGAGGCAGCATTCAGCGGTTCTTACAGCTTCCTACAATATCTTGACGCTTTCCGAGCGAGACCAAATGGCCAGAAGTTCCTGCATCCAGGTATAGAGAAGGATCAACTGTACGAAGCAGACGACACCGACAGGTTGATAGCGCGTGATCCCCGAGACTCTCAAGATCCGGTCGTTCATTACGGCCTTATCGCGTCGGGAGATAAGCTTATAAAGAATGCGAAGCTCAGGGACGCATTGAGGGACAAGTACAATATAATTTGCGTTGAGATGGAAGCAGCAGGCCTCATGAACACATTGCCTGTTACCGTCATACGAGGAATCTGCGACTATGCTGACGCTCACAAAAATGACGTGTGGCATCACTACGCTGCTGCTACAGCCGCTGCATATGCTAAAGGGCTCCTCTACGCGATTGGTGGGTCGGTATCAGGAACGGTATCAGGAATTCGCGGGGATACTCAGGTTAGGACTTCTCCTGTGCCCCTCCCGTCCAAAACATCCACTGCAGGTGGGCAGCAGCAGAAGGTAGCCCAGAAACTTCCTTTCAATGTCCGCCAAAGCAGTAGGTTCTTTGATTCTCTTCTCGAGGCTGTATTGTTAGGCGCCACTAACCGTTTATTCGCCATTGTTTACAGTGAAAAGCCAATACGAATCCAAGAAACCTGAAGTGGAAAGGAAGATTTCGAGCCTCCTTGGAACACCATGGAGGGTCGAGGCTCACACCGACGCCATCTATCCATGTGTAGAGCCTCGATACCATGATTATATGGGACAACTGATCCTAACGTAAGAAAAGTAACCTTTTCATCCAAACAACCAAATTACCTGTACCTTTTATCAAACATAATTCCCCTTCAAGTGAGAGAAGAGGAAAGACTGATACAAATTGAAATACATGCAGATACTTCTCAGGCGCCTACGATTGGCTGAACATGCGCATCAAACAGGAAGGTCTCGACGACCTGAAAGACGAACTCAACGAGATATGTTTCAACCACAAGATCACTCTCGAGCCCCTTGAGCCCGGTGAGGATGACAAGACGTTCAAAATGTGTGCAATGGGTCGCTGCGGGTGTGGGATTGGGCACGGGAATCTCCGCATCTTGTTCGAGAAAAATAAGTTTGGAGTCAATGCAGATGGCGCCACATCGGGGTTAGTGGATGCCTTGAGCTCAGTTTAGGTTGATGAACCGTATGGAAGGGGGAGGGGGGGGGGGTTCGTTTGGGGCGGGGGGAGTGAGTTAAATGCGTTTTTGTGTTTTTTTTGGAATTGAAGAAATCGAGGATGGTGGGATGGAGATCAATAATATCGACTTGATGGTGAGAGAGCAAGATGGAGACTCGAGTGGAGAATTAGCAGAATTGACTTTTGAATTATGTAGAGAGGATTCTATAGCAAATCTGTACAGGATGGCGAGTGAGTCAGGGCATCAGTAACGAGAGGGTCTGGCATTCTGTGATTGGAAAGGTTAAAAAGGACGTAACGTTTCCATTCCTGCATATTCGGGCCCTTTAATAGGCTCGAACGAGCTTATGTGATTCCACGTGTAATTAGATTACGTACAAAAGCATGATCAGAAATCACAATTCCTTGTAAAAATTCCCACGTGATCAACGACTCCAGCCGAGCCGCCATGGCTCATTTTCTCATGGACGCCGCATTAAACGAATCATGTGGAAAATAACCCTCCTTGGGGTTGTGAAGGAGAGAGACAGTTGGGACTTGCCAACTGAAAGATACGGTTCCTTTTCGGCGCTCATCCCCGGCAGATGCCAAGGGACAAGTAGGTATAGTACAACGAAGCTAAACTGTCCCATCAACCTGTGGGAGGAAATCTATTCGACTCTGGGCCGTATCATGTTCCAGCGCGTTCGTACTGCGGCTTGGGTTCTGCCAGGGAAATTCTTGAAGATCCACTTCCAAGGCTTGCCATCTTTCTTGTATGCCAGCAAGCGCTACTCATCTAGGTTTGACCACTAGCTGTGCTTGCTCGTGCTCGAACGGCCCTGCTCGGCATTGCTAGAATCTCCATCACTTGAATCGATATTATCGCCGCTGTTTGACGATTCGACCTTCTCCGATACAAGAGCCCCAACGTCAATAAAGCAATCGGCCCCTCCTCCCGTTCAAGAACGACCGCCCCTATACGAGTCGATTAATAAGGTCTATGGTATTCTTGGTCTGGTGTCCCCGGACGACGCATGCAAAATCACGATCGATTACGGCATCGAGGCCAAAGATCTTTATAAACAGATTGCATTGACCGATATTCCCGAATCGGACTTAACATCCTTTACTTGTGCACAAATTCGACCGAGAAATCGACCGTTGACTGACCGTCGTGGATCCCGGATTGGAGCCAACCATGCTGCTGGGAATTCCTCACCAAATTTTCGAGTCGAGGGCAGCACTTTGTTTGTCACTAGGAGGATCGTAGAGACCATCCAGTGCGTGGAACTGACAAGAAGGATCCCGACAGGCAACCAGGCAGAAGAGACACTCAAAAATGGGAAAATGTAAAACAATACCCCCCCGGGGTGTCGATTAGGGGTGTCGATGGCAGAATCTTTTTTTTTTGGCTTAGCGCCCCCCCCTCCCCTCCAGGTATCGAGTAGAAGTATTAATAAATTTTAGAGTTTTAATAATATCTAATTTATTATTTATATATAAGAGCTTTAGTTTTGGAGAGAGCTTAGGTAATTATTACATACGAGGCAAAAGTTCCAGGTACTGAATCACTAAATTCTCAGGCTCTCTTAAAGTTAATACCCCTAATTAATACCCTCCCCAAATAATATTACTAATTAATACCCTAATTAATACCTCAAATTAATATTCTGGGAGGTATTGCTTTACATTTTCCCGTTTTATAAGAGGTTAAGAAGAAATATATGTTATATAGGCTTATAAGACCCTAATTTTTTTGAACTAATTATAATATAACCAAATTTGTCTGGAAACAATAATAATAATATACTATTTAGAGAATATAAGATTATTACCGCAAAAAAAAAACGCTGCTATATCTTTGCCCCAGATATAGCTAGTATATATATCTCTTACTACCCGAGTAAAGCATGCGCCCGGTTATAAGGCTTCTTTAATTAATTAGTATAATAATAACAAGCATTTTTCTTATAAATTAAATTAATAGAGTTATAGTATAATATATTAATAAAAGCTTCTTATTCTTTATTTAAAGAAATTAATTAATTAATAGTTATTTATATCCGAGAGACCTCTCAAAGAATATAATAGGCATACGTGATGGCGTATAGACAGGTATCAGATATCGTGAATCTAGTTTCCTATTTTAGGTATAGCTTGCAATCGGAATTATATGGATCGTATGGGATTTCCTAATTAAGTAAAGGGCTTCATATACCTGGCTAAGTACTAGGAAATATATAAGGAAATACTCCTAGCTTTGGAAGGGGCATTAATTAGTCTCTTATTAGAATTAATTCTTGGAATCAGTTATACTTGCAAGCATTACTCTATAGCTTACTTACCTTGACTACTTATATATTACCCTACTATTACGTGCCTTATATTCTAATTAATCTAACCTTTGGAGAGCAGTTTATTACGAGGTAGTCAAGCCATTAACAGACAAAACCACTAATAGCTAGAATATTAACCAGAAGAAGCGCCTCTGCTATTACTGGGGCAACCTAGTCGGGTACCCAGGGGAGCACCTAGTTAGCTACTCTAGCTACCGTCTAATTAGGAGAAGGAAATAGAACTCAGATACCCCTAGAACTAGCTAGCAGGATAATAATAATAGAGAAGCTGGCGGCGGCTTATTATTGCATTACTGAGTTAGAAGCAGAGATATAATAAAGGAAGGATCTAGAGGATTTAGAAGCTCAGATTCGCTATCTTAAGGATATTCGGATACCTATTATAGAACCTGTCATACTACCGGCGGTATATTTAGTTTGCAGGGCTCTAAAAACCCGAGAATTACTAACCTATAAGAGAAAGAGTATTAAGGAAGCCCAGGACTTCTTCTACTAGACAGAGCTAAAATAATATAAAGACAGCGGGATTACCTGGACTATAAACGTAATAAAGGTTATATATTATACTTCTTACTTTAAGAATATAGCCAGGAATATCTAGAAATATAGGAAGTAATTAGTAGGCATTAATACTACGGATTAGGAGATCTTTATTAAGTTTATAAAGAATTCTATCTTGGATCCGGAGAACCATAGTAATAATATCCTTATTAAGTTTAAGAATATAAAATAGTAGCCAGGTTAGAATATTTAAAGCTTTATATCCTACTTAAATAGCCTATTAGATAACTTGGGATATACAGGTTTGCCGCAAGAGCAAGATAACTTATTTAGTAGCTTAAAGCAGGAGATTCGGAACAAGATTAATTACTAAAAGAATGCTCTATAAGAAAGAAAGAAGCTTATTTCTATGGCTATAAAAGTCGAGAATAACTTGAACTAGTCTACTTAACGGGAATATAATAATAAGCTAATAGGTTAATAAAAGAAAGGAAATTAGAGAAAGAAAAAAGGAAATAATAAAGGGAAATAAAAGAGAAATATATCCCTATTATAAGGTTTATATAACCGGAATAGTAAAAGCATAGTAACAGGATCTAATATAGTACCTGTATCGGGATCTATAAGACCAGATATAACTTGCTTTATTTGCTAGAAAAAGGGTTACTATATTATTACTTGCCTAAATCAGGAAAAACTAACTTACTATAACTATAATAAGTCTGGCTATAAAATATATAAATACCTAGAACTAAAGAAGCCGAGAAATAGGTATATCTTATAATAGTTATACTCGTTTATATTACAGAAAATAAGGCCCCTAAAACAAGAATAGTAATTAAGGTTACTATTAAAATAAGGAAAAATAGGTAAAGAATTAAAGTATTAGTTAACTCGGGTATAGAGGCTAATTATATAAAGAAGAGATTAGCCTTAGATATAGGTATTTTATTAATATTAAAAGTAACTCTCTTATTCTTACTAGAGAAAAAGAGGATTTATTTATATAAAGATTATATTCTTGAGATTATTACTAAGAATATACTAGAAAACCAAAAAAAAACTAATATATATTTTATATTATATAATTTTAATCTAAACCATATTAATATAATACTTGAATTCCTATAGCTTTACTAGATTAATTTTCTAATTTCCTTTAGAAAGATAATATAGAAATACTAGATTTAATTATAGAAAATTAAAGTTCTAAATACTAGGAAGTTTACTAAAGTAATAAAGTATAAAATATATGTTTTTTTATTAACTGCCTATCCTATAATAAATAGCTAAAGAATTACTACTATTATTATAAATAAGATAGCTATATTTCCTAGAAAGTATTAGGATTTTCTTTAAATATTCTTTATAGAGGCTATAAATATATTACCTAATTATTATATAATAGAGTATTATATAGATCTGGAATTAGGATCCTAACTACTATATAGTCCTATATATATTTTATTAGAAAAGAAGCTTAAAGTCTTTTAGGAATATCTTAATATTAGCTTAAAAAAGAAATAAATTCGTTATTTTACTAGCCTAGCTAGTACTCTAATTATATTTATTTCAAAGAAAGAAAGCGGCCTATATTTATATATTAATTACCGGAATCTAAATAGAATTATTATTAAGAACTAAATACTATTACTACTTATTAGTAAAATAATAGATAGGCTTTATAAAGTAAAGATATATATAAAGCTAGACTTAAAGGATACTTATTATTAGTTATAAATATAGGAAGGTAATAAGTAAAAGACAATATTCCGAATATACTATAAATATTTTAAGTACTATATTATATTCTTTAGATTATTTAATACTCCGGTAATATTTCAGATATATATTAACTATATACTAGTAGGCCTTATAAATATTATTTATATAGTCTATCTAGATAATATTTTAATTTATTTTGAGAATCTAGAATAGTATATAATAATAGTCTAATATATATTCAAGTAATTATAGTAATACTAGCTTTTTATAAACTTAGTAAAATACGAGTTTAATATAAAGAAAATAAAGTTCCTGGAATTTATAATTAGCCTAGATAATATAGAAATAAAAGCTAGCCGGGTTATAATTATTAGGAAATAGCTAGCCCTAAAAAATAATATCCGAGAAGTTTAAATATTCCTGAATTTTACTAACTTTTACTAGAAGTTTATTTATAAATACTTTAGAATAATAAAAAGATTAACTAATTTACTAAAAACTAGTAGAAAACTACTATATTAGTTTAGCTAGACGGATAAGGCAAATAAGGCTTTTAGGAAACTATAAATTATATTTATAATAGTACTAATTCTTTATTATTTTAACCTAGTCTTAAAGATTTATATAAAAACGAATACTTTAGGATTTATAATTATAAGTATAATTTCCTAGCTCTTTAATAAAAGGGCAAAAGCCAGGTAATACCCTATTACTTTCTATTTAAAAAAGATAACTATAATTAAGAATAAATACGAGATATATAACTCTAAACTCTTGGCTATTATTCTAGTATTCCGTACTTAGTAGTATTACCTAATATATATCTAGTATATTATTATTATTAAGATAAATTATAATAACTTGAAATACTTTATAACTAAGAGAAAACTAAATAATTAATAGATAAGATAGGTAAAGAAGCTAGCTGCCTTTAATTTTATTTTAGAATACTGGCCGGGATATAGTAATCCCGCTAATAGGCTATTAAAGAGGCCAGACTTTATAATAGATATAAATAAAGATACTTTATTACCTATATTTTATAATAAGCTATAGAATATAGAATAAAGAACCTTATAAGTAATAGTAATAGAATACTATATTATTCCTATAATACTATAATATAAGGCCTAAAAGAGAAAAAATAAGTACTTCTCAATTAGCGAGATACTAAGAAATTCCGAAAAGAAAGTCTATTTTAGTAATAAAATAGTACTAGAGATACTATTACTTGAGCCTATTACTAGTATAGCTAGTTATAAATAGTATATACTACGGATTCTAGCTATATAGGTAGCTAGGTCCGAAATAATATATAAAAAAAGCAGAAAAACATTACTTAAACTATTATTATAGTACTAAAGGCTCGATTTATTAGTATAATACTAGTAATATAAATAGTTCTTAAAAAAGACCTTTACTAGAGCTATTAAGACTTAGGAACTTAATATATCTGGGTTATTAAAATATTAGAATACTATTTATATACTAAATAAGCCGGCTTTTAAAGAAGAATTACTATAAGCTAACTATAATAATCCTATAAGTAGGTATTTTAGTACTAGTAAAATACTAGAGATTTTCTAGAAAAAGTACTTCTAGTAAAATATAAGAAAAGATATAAAAGATTATATTAGAACTTATCTTATATATTAATAAACTAAGATAAAGAAATATCTGTTATATAATATACTTAGTTTATTTCCCCTCTTTTCTAAGCTATAATAAGAAATTACTATAGACTTTATTACAGGATTACCTCTTTTTAGGTTTTATAATAAAGTATATAATTCTATACTTATTATTATTAATAGATATATAAAAATAATATAATATATTCCAATTACTAAGGAAGTCTCGACTTCTGAGCTAGTAGAGCTATTTATATATTATATTATTAAAGACTTTAATACGCCTGCAGGTATAACTTCTAATAAAGAATCTATTTTTATAAGCAAGTTCTAATTAAGTTTATATTTCTACTTAAAAATTCAATAATAGCTAAATATAGTATTTTACTTATAAACTAATAGATAAATAAAGAATCTAAACCAAACTCTAAAATAATACTTGAGATACTATACTAGCTACTAGTAGGACGACTAGGTAATAAAGCTTGCTTTTATAAAATTCATATATAATAACTTTATATATTTAATAATAGAAATATTTCTATTCTATATTTTATATAGATTTTATTCTAGTATTAAATTATATATTAAGAATAATATTCTAGAAAGAGAGGCACTAGTAATATAGGAAAGAATATAAAGAATTCAAATAGAATAGGAAATACTAGAGAAATAATAATAAGAAGTAATAAATATATAGAAAAAGTACTATAATAAGAAATATATTAATAAGAAGTTTAAGATATATAATAAAGTTATGCTTTATATAAAGAATATTTAATAGCTATAACCTAATATAAAGCTAATAGACAGATATCTCGGCTTCTTTAAAGTTCTGGAAATTATAGGAATATATAAATAGATATATTACTTGGAATTACTACTATTATATTAGATCTATAATATTTTCCATATTTCTTTTTTAGAATTATAGTACCTATAAGCTAGTATTATAGTAGAACTAAAGCTAGTTAAGATTAAGAATAAAGAGAAATTCGAGATAAAATCTATTATAGCCTATAAAAAGAACAGAAAAGAAAAGAAATATCTTATTTATTAGAAAAGCTACTTACTAGTAAATAATATATAGGAATTACTAAATAATTTAGAGAATATAGCTCAAGAATTATAAGAATACTTAGAAAAGAGTAATATTATAATACTATTAGCCAAATAGAAATATAAAAAATAAATGCTTTTATTAGGAAACTATTAAAAAACCATATATTTATTTTTGGAAAAACCATATAAAAATTATTAAAAACTCTAATTTCTATATCCTATAAATATCTTACCCTTATAATTACTTTCTATTATCCTTATTATTATTCTTATTAGAATTCTTTCGAGAAACAGGTAATAAATTAGCCTATAAAGCTATTAGCTATTAATAAGAAACAAGAAAGAAGTAAACTTACTTAATACTAAAGAATATTAATTATACTATTAAGAGTACTTTATACTTATACTAAGCTAGTAAGAATTACTTAATCTATTTCTTGAATTATTAGGGAAATCTATTAGCTTTAAATAATAGCTTTAATATAAGAAGTATATATAGTTTAGTATAAAAAAAAAATAATAATAGCTTTCTTCTTTTTAGATAAAGAATAGGAAAGACGCTTATATATATTAATAGCTTAAAGAAGGCAGTTTAATTATACTATATATATTTAAGAAACCTTAGATAATATTAGAATAAGAAATAAAAGAAGAAATTTATAACTTATAGAATTATATTTCTTATTCTTGAAGTAGTAATAATTATATACTAAATAATTATTACTCTTAATATAAGTAAGGTCGGGAAACTTAGTAATATTCTTGGAATATTAAAGATAGTAAAAATAAATCAAGAATATAGGAGTATTAGCTAAATAGGTAGTAATAGGCTAATAAGTACTAAGAGAAGTATTTATCTTAATAAATAAAGAAATAGAAAAGGGAATTAAAAAAGAACTTAAATAAAGCTTAAATAAGGCTTAAAGAAGCTTAAAGAAGCTTAAAGAAGGCTTAAAGAAGGAAGATAAGAAATAAGGAGAAGCTAGATATGGTATTATAGTTAAGGAAAAGAAAGGTTAGTTAATAGGAAAAGGGAGGCCTTTTTATAATATCCTCTTCCCGAATAGTAATTACGAATTCGGAACCGGCTCTATACTAGGAATATCCAGAAAATTCTAAAGAAGGGATTTATAAACGAATTAGAAGATCAGATTAACTTTTCCAAGCTCTTGGGCCTATAAAGTAATAATTTATTCATAAATAGAAGCTAAGTTAGGATTTATAAACTAATTAGGAAATTAGATAAGCTTTATATCTAATAGTATATACTATATTTATACTACCTTTATAAGAGGAAATTGCCAGAGGCAATTTACAAACTAGCTAGGAAGAGTTAGTAAACTATATCCTTAACTCTATTACCTAATATAATAATAGGATAATTATAGGAAGTCTTTAGGGAAAGCTAGTAGCTAGAAAAGTTTTAAGAAAATATTTATAAAGCTATTTGCAGTTTTCCCAGGCCTTTTAGGGACAAGGGCCTAGAGAGAGAATTAATATAATAGATATATGTAATAGTATATAAATAGGTATTAGATATTATAGATCTAGTTTCCTATTTTAGATATAGCTTATAATCGGAATTATATAGATTATATAGGATTTCCTAATTAAGTAAAGGGCTTCGTATGCCTGGCTAAGTATTAGGAAATATATAGGAAGATGCTTCTAGCTTTAGAAGAGGCATTAATTAGTCTCTTATTAAAATTAATTCTTGGAATTAGTTATATTTGCAAGTGTTATTTTATAGCTTACTTACCTTAACTACTTGTATATTACCCTGCTATTACGTGCCTTATAAAGAGTATAGGGACATACTAAGCTAAGAAGTAAAGTCTTATTTAAAATAAAGTCAAAAACTATAAGAAGTAAAAAGATTCTTTCCTAAATAGCCCCGGGTCCCTAATCCCGTAGTATTATAGTACCCTTGCCTTAGAAAGCATTTCTTACTATAGCTAGGTATAGATAGGGGCCTATAGCTACTCTCTATATATAGCCAAACTGCCTTATAACTATATAAAACCTCTCTTGCTAGTTAGGGTAGTTACTAGAACTTTTCTTCTCTTACCCAAGTCCTCCTATAATTCAAATATTCAAGCCCGACCCCTCCCCTTATCTTCTTAATACCCTATATCCCCCCTTATATCTATAGAAGTACCGAGTTCTCGGGCCTATATTTATAGGAGGATTCCTCTACTATATAGCTAGTCCGAGAGTGAGTTAAAAGAGTCGGAAAGGCTATGGTATTTACCTCAATTTCCCTTACGGTTCCCGTAAATATATCTCCCCTAAGTATATGGTAGATCAAACGAGAGAGGAAGAATTAGAGTCGATATTCCGATTATAAGTCTTATTGAGTAGAAGTTTGAGCTCTCGTAGAGGTGCTATACCGCTGGCTTGTATAAAACCGGATCTGGCAGTAAAGGAAAATCTCCCTGTATTTGCTTATAACTCAATCTTGGCCCTATACTCTAGAGAGTATAGGTTAATAGCCTGTACTATAAGGAAGTATTAAGTTATTACAGGCCTTTATTTAAAGAAATACCTTATTACAGGCAAGTTATCTCAAATTATAATAAAAACTACTACTTACCCCGCAACTAAAAATACTACCGCTAGTAGTAGCATTTTTTTTTTGCTCTATAAAGACTAAGACTTTAATATTTGCAAGGTAAAATAAATACTACCGCTTGCAGTAGCGTTTTTAAGAAAATTATCCCTTATTTAGAAAATTTGGGTAGTAGGGAAGGGCTAACTAATAAGAATCCCGTATACTTAATTAATTATTTACTAATTAATTACTTATTAAGTAGCCTCCTTACTTCCATTACTAGTAATCTTTATATAGCCTTTCTAAATATATTCTTTTATCTAGTAAAGAATATGGCTATTTATATATAGTACCTCCTAGTAAGGAATATATGGCCATTCTATTACATGGCAACTATGTGCTAGTGGTCACGTGCAGGCTCACGTGACTACACTCCTGTATTTAAGCTTTGGCCACTCGTACCACACCTCTCTTTCCTCTTAATCAATCTATATATTATTATTACAATATAATAACAACATTATATTATAACAAATAGTAGCAATGCTCTTCAATTCGATTTAATCAGGGTCTCCTTACTCTTGATTACCTGCGAATTCCTCCATACCTCCCCCAGCAAGCCCTCCAAAGCTCTGCTCCAACCAGTCGATCTCTTAATTAAATCATCGACTGGAAATCGTCAATACCTCTACGGTATCGCCATGCCTTTCAATTAGACCTCTTAATTAAGCGTTCTATTTGATAAACAAATCGATTTTCAGTTATCGCCATCCGTACGATAATTATCGTCTGAATCGGAGCACTATACTCGCCCTCCAGCAATCGCGACCGATACTGCCCTCCCGATACTTCCGCACCATAAACGACCTCCATATCAACCATAGCATACATAAACATCGCAATAGCCTCCTTCTCAACTTGACATCCCTGTACGCTTTGTACAGCCTCGACTACCATCCTCCTGCCATCGAACAGCCTGCTCTCCTGTCGACGAGCCTTCTCACCCTTCTGCCGTCGAACAGCCCCTTAGCTTATCGACAGCCTTCTCCTCCTCCTCCTGCTATCGAACAGCCTTCCTTAGCTTATCGACAGCTCCCTGCTCCTCTCCTGCGCTCCCTGCATATCGAATACATATATACGGTACTATTGGGAGGCCTTGGTTACTAGCATTAGGCTAGGTACTCTGGTAGAGTTCAGGGATATTAGACATGGCTGTTTTTGAGCTTTTGGGTAGAATTCGTTCGATTTTCTGTCCTTTTCGAAAAGTTGACCCGTACATACGAGTAAAATCGTACGTATAGCATAGAGGACCACGCAATTCTTTCTTTTTTGGAAGCATATATTACATGGCAACTACATACTCGTAGTCACGTGCAGGCTCACGTAACTACACTCCTGTATTTAAGCTTTGGCCACTCGTGTCACACCTCTCTTTCCTCTTAATCAATCTATATATTATTATTATAATACAATAACAACGTTTTATTATAATACATTCTTTAAATATACTATACTGGTAGGTATAACGGCTGGTATAATAGTATAATCTACTAAGGACAGGATATTAGAAACAGGTACAAAACGGAGCTAAGCCAGAATACTTGGGCGGAATAATACTAAAGATCGAGGCATTCTCTCTACTTTATTCTATAGCTTAGTATTTTCTAATATATGAGATTCTTTAAACTTTATACCTTTAACTATAATATTAATCCTACTATTATATAATACTAAGCTTATTCGACTCGGCCTATAGAGGCAATATAATACTATTAGTAAAGGATCTATATTTATTCTCAGAAAGCAAAAATATAATACTACTTTTAATATTTAATAACTTCCTTAAATTATAAAGAACTAGAAAGCTTAGCTAGAAGTATAGTATCTTTTATAATCTAGTTAATCTCGAAGTCTGGTTCTTAACTAGAGCAAATAATATTCCTCTTTTAATAGTTAGTTCTCTATTAATATAAAAGAAGAAAAATATTATTTTCTATAATCCGGTTAATCTCAGAGTTTAGTTCTTAACTAGAATAAATAATATTTCCTTAATACTAATAAAAATAAAAGAATTAGTTTCCTTTTCTAATATAGAAAGAATTAATTATAGTTTATTAATTTAAAATAAGAAAAGATAATAATTAGTTTTAGTTTATTAATTTAAAACTAGATAAAATAATAATTAGTTATAATTTACTAATATTAAATAAAAAGAACTTATTTAGTATTTATTTCTATAGCTAATATCTCTTTTAAAGCTATTATAAATAGTCTAGAATCAAGTATTATTACTATAGATATATTAGATTAAAGGCCCTAATTATAAGATATATAATAATAGAATAATATATAAGTAATTAAGATAAATAAGATAAATAAGCTATAAAGTAATACTTATAAATATAACTAATTCCAAGAATTAATTCTAATAAAAAACTAATTAATATCCTTTTCTAAAGCTAGAAATATCTCTTTATATATTTCCTAATATTATAATAGGTATATATAATAATATATAAACAGGTATTAGATATTATAGATCTAGTTTCCTATTTTAGGTAAAGCTTATAATTAGAATTATATAAGTAATCGGAATTATACGGATTATATAGGATTATATTTCCTAGTTAAGTAAAATGCTTTGCAGGCTTAGCTAAGTACTAGGAAACATATAGAGAGACGCTCCTAGCTTTGGAAAGGGGTATTAATTAGTCTTTTATTAGAATTAATTCTTGGAATTAGTTATACTTATAAATATTACTCTATAGCTTACTTACCTTAACTACTTATATATTACCCTACTATTATATGCCTTATATTCTAATTAATCCAACCTTAGGGAAGCAGTTTATTATAAGGTAGTTAAGCTATTAATAGACAAAAATATTAATAGCTAGAGTATTAACTAGAAGAAGTGCCTTTACTATTACTAGAGTAACCTAACCGGGTATTTAGGGAAGTACCCAGTTAAGTACTCTTTATACTATCTAATTAGGAAAAGAAAGTGGAACTTAGATACTTCTAGAACTAGTAGATAGGATAATAATAATAGAGAAATTAGTAATGGCTTGCTATTATATTATTAAGTTAGAAATAGAGATATAATAGAGAGAAGATCTAGAGAAGCTAAAAGCTTAGATCTATTATTTTAAAAATATTTGGATACCTAGTATAGAATTCATTATATCTCTAGTAGTACTTTTAGTTCGGAGGGCTCTAAAAACCCGAGAACTATCTATTTACTAGAGAAAGAGTATTAAAAAAGCCCAGGACTTCTTCTATTAGGTAAAGTTAAAATAATATAAAGATAGTAGGATTATCTAGGCTACTAATATAGTAAAGATTATATATTATATTTCTTATTTTGAGAATATAGCCAGAAATATCTGGAAATATAGAAAGTAATTAGTAGGTATTAATACTATAAATTAGGAGATCTTTATTAAGTTTATAAAGAATTCTATCTTGAATCTAAAGAACTATAGTAATAATATTCTTACTAAATTTAAGAATACTAAATAATAGCTAGGCTAGAGTATCTAAAGCTTTATATTTTACTTAGATAGCCTATTAGATAACTTGGGATATACGGGTTTATTATAAGAGCAGGATAACTTATTTAGTAGCTTAAGGCAAGAGATTCGGAACAAGATTAATTATTAAGAAAATACTTTATAAAAAAGGGAAAAGCTTATTTCTATAGCTATAAGAATTAAAAATAATTTAAACCTATTTACTTAACGGGAATATAATAATAAGCTAATAGAATAATAAAAGAAAAAGAATAAAAGAAAAGAAAAAGGAAATAATAAAAGAAAACAGAAAAAAAATTATATTCCCGTTATAAGGTTTATAAAACCGAAATAATAAAGATATAGTAATAGAGTCTAATATAATACCCGTATTAGGATTTATAAGACCGGATATAATTTATTTTACTTATTAGAAAAAGAATTATTATATTATTATTTACCTAAATTAGGAAAAACTAACTTACTATAATTATAATAAGTCTAGTTATAAATTATATAAATACCTAGAACTAAAGAAGCCAGGAAATAAATATATTTTATAATAGTTATACTTATTTATATTATAAAAAGTAAGGCCCCTAAAACGAGAATAGTAATTAAGGTTATTATTAAGATAAAAAAAGGTAAGTAAAGAATTAGAGTATTAGTAAACTCGGGTATAGAAACTAATTATATAAAAAAGAGATTAGTTTTAGATATAGGTATTCTATTAATATTAAAAGTAATTCCCTTATTCTTACTAGAGAAAAGAAAGATCTATTTATATAGAAATTATATTCTTGGGATTATTACTAAGAATATACTAGGGAACTAAAAGAAGGCTAATATATACTTTATATTATATAATTTTAATCTAAATTATATTAATATAATATTTGAATTCCTATAGCTTTATTAGGTTAATTCCCTAATTTCTTTTAGGGAAATAATATAGAAATACCAGATTTAATTCTAGAAGATTAAGGTTTTAAATACTAGAAAGTTTACTAAAATAATAAAGTATAAGATATATGTTTTTCTATTAATTGCCTATCCTATAATAAATAGCCGAAAAGTTATTACTATTATTATAAATAGGACAAGTATATTTCTCAAGAAATATTAGAATCTTTTTCGAATATTTTTTATAAAGGCTATAAGTATATTACTTGACTATTATATAATAAAGTATTATATAGATCTAGAACCAGGGTCCTAACTACTATATAGTTCTATATATACTTTATTAGAAAGAAAGCTTAAAGTTCTTCGGGAATATCTTAATACTAGCTTAGAAAAGAATTAGATCTATTATTTTACTAGCCTAGCTAGTATTTTAATTATATTTATTCTAAAGAAAGAAAGCAGCCTATATCTATATATTAATTATTAGGGTCTAAATAGGATTATTATTAAGAACTAAATACTATTATTACTTATTAGTAAAACAATAAATAGGCTTTATAGAGCAAAGATATATATAAAGCTAAACTTAAAAAATATTTATTATTAGTTACGAATATAGAAGAGTAATAAATAAAAAATAATATTTCAAATATATTATAGATATTTTAAATACTATATTATATTCTTTAGACTATCTAATACTTTAGTAATATTTCAGGTATATATTAATTATATACTAGTAGGCCTTATAAATATTATTTATATAGTTTATCTAAATAATATTTTGATTTATTTAGAGAACCCAGAATAATATATAATAGTAATCTAATATATACTTGAGCGGTTATAATAATACTAGCTCTTTATAAACTTGGCAAAATACGAATTTAATATAGAAAGAATAGAGTTCCTAGGGTTTATAATTAGCTCAGATAGTATGGAAATAAAAGCTAGCCAGGTTATAGTTATTAGGAAATAGCTGGCCCTAAAAAATAATATTCGAGAAGTTTAAGTATTTCTAGATTTTACTAACTTTTATTAGAGATTTATCTATAGATATTTTAGAGTAGTAAAAGAATTAACTAATTTATTAAAAATTAATAGAAACCTATAATATTATTTTAGCTAGATAAATAAGGCTTTTAAGGGTTTTAAGGAGCTATAAATTATATTTATAATAGTACTAATTCTTTATTATTTTAATTTAGCCTTAAAAATTTATATAGAAATAAATACTTTAGGATTCGTAATTATAGATATAATTTCCTAGCTCTTTAGTAAGAAGGCAGAAGCCAGGTAATACCTTATTATTTTTATTTAAAAAAGATAACTATAATTAAAAGCAGATATAAGATATATAATTTTGAACTTTTAGTTATTATTCTAGTATTTTATATCTAGTAATATTACCTAATATATGCCCGGTATACTATTATTATTAAAACAGATTATAATAACTTGAAATACTTTATAACTAAAAGAAAACTAAATAATTAATAAATAAAATAGATAAAGAAGCTAGCTATTTTTGACTTTATTTTAGAATACTAGCCGGGATATAATAACTCTACTAATAGACTATTAAAAAGGCCAGATTTTATAGCAGATATAAATAAAGATATTTTATTATTTATATTTTATAATAAGCTATAGAATATAAAATAGAAAGTTTTATAAATAATAGTAATAAAATACTATATTATTCCTGTAATATTATAATTTAAGGCCCAGAAAAAAGGAAATAGGCACTTCTTAATTAGTAAAATACTAAGGAATTCCGAAAAGAAAGTCTATTTTAGTAATAGAATAATACTGGAAATACTATTACTTAAGCCTATTACTAGTATAGCTAGTTATAAATAGTATATACTATAAATTCTAGCTATATAGGCAGCTAGGTTTAAAATAGTATATAAGGAAAATAGAAAAATATTACTTGAATTACTATTATAGTACTAAAAGCTCGATCTATTAATATAATACTAGTAATATAAATAGTTCTT